GAAATAAATAATTAGCTTCTTATAGTTTTTTTAACCCAATATCTCAATTCATATAATAAAAATTATTAAACAAATGGATGTAGTGTTGTATTAACGAAATTTTCATTAAAAATTATTTTAAAGAAATATTATTCTTTTTAAAATTAATTTATAATATATTTTCTCGCCATTTTTTCCTATAGTATTTTTCTACATTTCTACGTAATTATTTTTGTTGCAGTTGGTATATTTAAAAAAGTAAATCTAAGAAAAATCCTAAACTTGTTAAAATTACATAGAAACCTTTAATATACATCCTTCAATAAAAAAACTTCTGACCTTGGCAAAAAATTCCAAAAAAAAAAATTAAATTTATCAATCTCGCCAACATAAATCTTTGACCGATTTAATAAAATTTTTTTTTTGGAATGTTGATGTGTCATGTCTAAAATGATGACTATACTACCACATCAATATTTTTTTTAAAAAACTTAAACCGTTTTAAATGTTTTTTTAAATTGTTGATGTGATAATATATATATATATAATCAGTATTCCAAAAACCTTAACACAAAAATTACATATGCTACAATCCAAAATTATTTCATAAGTATATTATTTTTACCAATAAAAATACAAAATTGAAAAGAAAAAAAAGTGTACGATGAAACGCATTCTATGCGACACCACACCATAATACCACACTGCCATGATAAAATGCAATGCGCAATAGATAATTTCTAACAGATTTGGGGCATAAGTGCAATTTTATTAAAATAAATGGAACCACGAGAGAGAGAGAGCTATTTTTTGTAACGTATCCAAAATATGGGGTTATGTTTGAGATAAGTAAAACTTGTGGTGAATCTTAATTTGACCAATTGTTTCAGGACAAGTGTCGTAAGATTCCTGCTATGACGCGTTATATTTTTTTAATAAAAGGTTTAAGCATCTGTCAGGCACAATTAAGCCCATTTAATTCACACAAAGATGCATTTTTGTGTTAAATAAAACGTAATTATTTAAATTAACTATGGTAAAAAATCTTTTACAAAAAATGATGATAAAAAAATCTAGTAGAGATTATTTTTTAAATTGAATAAATGAAATTTGAAGTGAATCAAATAAAATATCAAACGATAAATAATAGAATAAAAACTAAAATCTTTTTAAAAAATAATATTTATTTAGTGAAAATAAACTAATATTTGTAGCTTCTTCCAATAAGCATGTTTTAATTCTATCCACAAAGAATTTCGAATATCGAGTATAGGGGAGAGATTATGGGTTATCAATACGGTTCGTTGTAAATGTGGATATTTCGTAATACAATTATGTTTTAATTTTATTTGAATTTATTTTGGATTCATTTTATTTTAAAACAATTATTTATAAAGATTTCATCAAGATTTTTATATTCAGTTTGAAAAATCTTAAATTTATTATGTTAATTTAAAAATAATTATCCAATCAATACGATTCCATTCGTTTCAATTCTAGATGTTCAAATCAAAATAATTAAGTACCTCGATTTTTTATATGATATTTATATACTATTTTTCTTTTTAAACTCCAAAATATGGAAAGGGAATCAACGTGTTTAGCCCTTTTATAAATACTATTATCAGTAATTCATAATTCATATACACACGTGCGCGTTGTTGTTGTTTTATAAAAACACAAAATTATATATTGAAACCACATTTAGGTATTTTATATTTACAAAAAATTATGCAGAGACCTGTAATATAAATGCAGCGGGGCCGATAATATATTACCTGAGGATCTAATAATAAACATGGACCATGTTAGTTTGGGCCGGAAGCCGGAAAAGCCCAACAGAATCCGGGTCGGATCCTCCGTATAGATCACATGGGCGGGCGGGTTATGCACGAGTGGAAGTTGGCGCACAAAATAAAAAAAAAAAAAAAAGGAGAAAGAAGAAACATCGTATGAATGAAATGAACATCAATTAATCCCTTGCCCGACAACTATGATCAATCGATTAATTTTACTTGAAAAAAAAATTCAAAATCTGTCGTGTCCTTCGAGGAGAAACTTGTGTTCCCTACCATTGTTGTAATTTTCCCGGATCCTTTTCATCCCTGTCTCCACATCGTAATTATCAGGGTTTGTCGCAGAGTCACCCAACCAAAAAGCTGAGAAAAAACCCTAGAAAATCTGGGTTTTCTTCCGGGTGAATCGTCAGATCTGAGGTTCCAGACTGGTGGGTTCTCTTATGTTCTGTCCCGCGATTGGTTTCGCCGCATTTCGAATGTAATGTAGTTCTGTTTTCTTCTTCTTCTTCTGTGGGAAACCATCTTTTGTGCTGAAGTTTTTGTTGTTCTGCAAAATCTGTCGTTGTGTTCTCTGACAAACGATAATCTCGTTTCAAAGTTTCGCGATTTTTTTATGTGGGTTTGTTTGATTATGGGGGCAATGCAATCTTTACCCGTTATCAGGGATTTCAATTTGATCTGTTTCTTCTCATTCGATTGGTTTAGGATGGGATTTGAACTTCGGACATAACTGAACTTGCTAAGTAGCAATCTGATCCTGTTGTAGACAAGGGTTTTAAGATCAGAGAATCAAGATTCACGCTGCTTTTTTTTTCTACGAGTTAAAGTTTCTTGCTTTTAATGTCCAAACAAGGAAATCTGCAATGTAGTTCCTTTGTTTACTTTGTTTTCCAGAAGTTGCAAGTTTTTTTTTTCAAGTCTTGTTCAGCTAAAAAGCTTTGTTGTTTGTATGAACATAAATCATCTTTCTTTCAAGTTGAGGTGTGACTATGTGCTAAATTTGCTCTCTCATTGAATAAAAAAAAGATTGCAGGACAGGAGTGCTTCTAAATGCTCATATTGCTCTATTTGCAGTTGCCACTGGATTGTGGTTGCACTGTTGGCGATCAAAGTGGAATGGCGTCGTAGATGTAATTATGTGGAGAAGTTCTCTTGGACCGGTTACGAAGATATGAGATTAGGAAGTATTAGTTCTACTGGGTCAGGATATAATCTCCATGAAAAATATATTTGTAGATTTAGATTAGTGATGTGAGATTTCCACGGTTTTGATTTACATATGTTACGCCGTCTTGGATGGTTAATTGGACTGAGCCAAAGAAGTCGGCAAGCAAAGAAGACGCTCGATGCAAAACCTTATGTAGCCAGGGTTAAACCAGTGCTAATGATTGACACGGTTCAAGAAATCGCTATCTATATCCACAGGTTTCACAACCTAGATCTATTCCAACAAGGGTATGCTGTTATTTTTTTTCTTTTGAATAAATCTGAAGCATCTGTAGCTTTTATTACTCGGAGAACTTTTTATATTCTAGTTCTTTTAATGCCTTAGTTGGTATCAATTGAAAATCACCATGAGATGGGAGGATAATGATAACAAATCCAGCGGAATTCCCTCACGGGTTGTTCAGTATGAAGGTAATCTTGTTCTTCATCTTTGTCCTAAACCAATATTTTTTTTGTTTTCTCTTAGCGTATTTATCTTTATCCTATCTGTGTTTAGTTTTAGAGTATTAACCTTAAGAGGGTTTACACAGACTGAGGTGTAATAAAAGGACCGATATATCTTTGTATCTCAGCTCCTGATAGCAGTTCCGGTGATTCATATGGAGTGTGGAGGATCGATGATAAAGATAATAGTTTCTTAACGCAGGCCTTCCGCATTAAATATGCAAGGCAGGATGTTCGTTTATGTACGATGATCACCTTTACTTTGCCACTAGAAAAATACCAGGTACCAAGTTTTCTTATAATGCATTTTGAAGATTAAGAAAGCTGGGCTTCTCTTCTAGCTGTAGTCATTGCGGGTTGAAAGATTTAATGACCAATGTGTTCTTAACTATATCTTATCAGCATAAACTGTTCGAAGAAGCTTTCTTTAACACAATTCTTGAGATTCTAGGATGATTTAGCTTTTATGAAGTTGGGTTTACAAGCTTATTTTACTTGCTAACTTTGTTGATGTAGCTTTTATGCAAATGAACTAGCTTTTATGAAGTTGGGTTTACGAGCTTATCTTACTTGCTGACATTGTTGATTTAGCTTTTATGCTGGGGATGATTTAACTTTTATGAAACTGAGTTTACAAGCTCATTTTACTTTCTGACATTGTTGATGGTGGTCAGCAACAAAAATCTTTCAACGGGTCGTAAATGTTTTACTCATGTATTTGGATGGCGACCTGAAACTTTTAAGTTGAGAAAGGCCTCTGAATATGCAGGGGTCAGCTACGTGTGCGGTTATATTAAAGTTTGAGCTTTTGTATTCTCCGAGTATGGAGAATGTATTGGCCAAGCCTCTTGATGCTTCTCCTGCTGCAGTTCATGAGTTCCGTATCCCTCCTAAAGCTCTCACTGGATTCCATTCCTACTGTCCTGTCCACTTTGACGCCCTTCACTCAGTTCTTGTCGATGTTAGTGTCCACATCAGCGTGTTGAAATCTGCTGCTTACAGACGGCCTGCAATTCAATCGAGGTTTGTCACAAATATTTGCTCTCTCTCTCTCTCTCTCTCTCTCTCTCTCTCTCTCTCTCTCTCGTCTTTGATATCACTACAATTTTGCTGCAGTGATGCAAGTAATGGTGAGAAGGTAACTGGTGGCAGTGTTCAAGCTTCCAATAAAGTATGTGCTTCTTCTTCACTGATTTACCATTTATATAAAACCTTTTTCATATGGATGATTCTTTCTTTGATTCATTCGGCAATTTAACCTTTGCTTCATGCTCAGTCTGATGATTTTCAGAATCTCCTTCAAATAATTGGTTTTTTTAGCTGGATGATGCTACTCTGGGCTATAGTTCTTGTTCCTTCTTTTTTGATTTTGTTCTCTCTTGACTAATATTGAGACACCAGGTTTTCGCCAGTGCATTGAACGTGAAATTCTTTCCTAGCACTGAGAAACTCGTGAATGATGTTTTCTTGTGGGATGGTTTTCAAGGCAAAACTGCAAAAAATTTTTTTTTTTTTTTTTGTCTCCGGGCTCGTTTTACTGTGAAATTATCTGTTCTACTGTAAATTCCTTATTCCTTATTGTTCTGACATTTTTTTGGAACATCCTCGTTAGTTGATTGCTGACTTTGTGGTTAACTAGGAACTTGGTCAGATGGCTTCTGCTGACAAGAAACTGGTGTCATTTGTTAAAGCATTACTTAGAGCTCGGGACATTATGCTCGAAGAAATGCAAAGACTCAGCAAGGCAGCTGGTCAAGCAATCGACTTGACCGAGTTTATATCCACAATGAACGATGTTTTGTTATTTGATTCTGCGCCGACGGGGAAATCGGTTGAAGATGAAGGTTCGGGACAAGGCAAGGAACAAGTCAGCCTTGAGGTCCTTCCTTTATTTCAAAGCAGAGTGTTCTCTCTGTCAAATTATTTGGTTTTACAGTCTTATAATGCATGTGCTAATTCTTGTTCCTCCATTTTTCAACCGCAGAAACTGAATGGGTGTGATTTACAAAGTGATGGCTGGCTTTGTAGCTTAACAAAGGATCATCTATCTCGCCTATTCAACTTGCTCGGCGGGCAGCTACAATATCTGTGGAGCGCATTTCTGTCATATCACCGGTAATCACCCTTTCTTTTCTAATTTCTATCTGAAAATCCACTCGGGAGAGAAAGATATTCCGGTCACTGATCGCGTTTGAACTTGTTAGGGATAATAATACAAGAGTAATGGAATATCTTCATGATATCTGGACCAAGGATCGAAGAGCTGAATGGTCGATATGGATGGTGTATTCTAAGGTCGAAATGCCTCATCATTTTATAAATAGCGGAATGGACGAGTCTTCTCAACATGGTGTGCACAAGAGGGTCCCGAGTTTGTTGAAGTCAAACGATGTGAGTAAACCCTAAACCCTAATCCTTAAATCTAGTCCTTAATCCAATCATGTCTTTTGTTTATCTTTGGTTACTCATCTTGGTTTTGCTTCAAATGCAGCCTGCCCAAGTAGCGGCTACCCGTGCTGAACTTCATCGTCGAAGTATTGCACAGATGCGGGTTAGTTTCTTCGCTCTAATGATTCATAGTTACCTATTTTCTTTGTAGTTTGTATTTAGTTTTGAATTTGATGTTTCTATGCAATTTTTGGTGCAGATTAATAACCGGTCGATACAAGACATGCATATATTTGGAGATCCCATGCGGGTTCCTATCGTTATAATCGAACGTGTTTGGAATGCACCAAGACGTACTTTCAGCGACAATTCGTACTTGAGACATGTGGATATGATTGATTCTAGCTTACATTACGACGACGAGATCAGGAGAAAGAAATCCGGAAGTAATCCGACACAAATTGGCCGTGAACTAAAAGTCGTCATTTTCGTTCATGGTTTTCAGGCGAGTATCTTTTTTTTCCCCTCTGGAAGTTCACTGAGTCCTAGTCTGAATCTTTCGGAAATAGCCATGTCGTGGTTTGATTTTCGTTCATTCGATGCCGTTCTTCTGATAGGGGCATCACTTGGACCTAAGGCTTATCCGGAATCAATGGCTTCTTATCGATCCGACGATAGAGTTTCTAATGTCGGAGGCAAACGAGGAGAAAACTCACGGGGATTTCCGGGAAATGGGACAGAGGCTGGCACACGAAGTCGTGTCTTTCCTCAGGAGGAAAACGGATAAATACGCGAGATACGGGCGTTTGAAAAACATCAAGCTGAGTTTTGTCGGGCATTCCATCGGTAACATAATCATCCGAACTGCGATAGCAGGTACTTGAGGATTTCCTCGTTCAGTTTTCCTTTTTCGGGTGGTGATGAAAATCTTCGGAGAGAGAGCGGGTTTCGTCTTTTTGCAGATACGTCGATGGAGCCGTACAGGAAGTTTCTACATACGTATTTATCGCTGTCGGGTCCACACTTGGGTTATCTGTACAGTCCAAACTCGTTGTTCAATTCAGGACTGTGGATCCTGAAGAAGCTCAAGAACACGCAGTGTATTCATCAGCTCACCCTCACTGATGATCCTGATCTCCGTAACACTTTCTTTTACAAACTCTGCAAGGTAACCATCCTATATTTTAACTCGTTACGAATTGCCTTTACCCGTTTTTATTTTATTTTTTGGCTTGCTTCTACGGGTCGAGAACGGGAATTTGAGCTCGTTAGTCACGGGAAGAACCTGCATTTCGGATATTGAATCTTCTCACTTTTTGTTGTTCAAATTCTTTCAGCAAAAGACGTTGGAGAACTTCAAGAGCATAATCCTCCTATCTTCCCCACAGGTATGCTCCTTTACCCTCTAAACATGGATGGGCGAGGGTCAGATACCTAGCCTCGACCTTGTCTCCACGGGTTTTATGACCGAAGTATCTCGGTCTCGCTTTATGAGATTCGGGTACCCATGGCTCGGATACCCGAATCCGCCAAAACCTGTAAATTTCTGTTTACCCGAGCTCACCACCAGGGGTATAATGATAATTTTATACAAGAGTATACCATTATTGTAATTACCCTAAAACATCAGGGGTATAAACGTCATTTTGTACATGACGGTAACCAAACACACGGTTTGGGTTGCTCGTCCCGTCTCTCTGCGCTCGGCCTCGTCCGTTGCCGAGCACCCACATACCGGGTACACATGAGACCGTGTACACGTGAGATGGGTATCCGTGAACCCCACGGTATCGGGTTTTAACACCCCTTACCCATCAGTGGGTGGCCAAGTGGCGAAAGGGTGTTGCTCTCTGTGGCCCGGTCATCGGTCCGAAACCAGCTGATGGGGAAGGAGGGGTGCATTTAAGGTGTTGCTCGCTGGGCCCTTAGCTGTACTCTAAAGGCTGCTCCCGGGTCTGAGGGGATGTAGGTTGGCCTCTCGATTATAAAAAAAAAAAACACCCTCACCCCTTCCCTACTTGAAACCCTACATCTTACTATGGAAATGAGATTGCGGAAAATGGACGCAGGACGGGTATGTTCCGTACCATTCGGCGAGGATCGAATCGTGCCAGCAAGCATCGTTCGACAATTCGAAGAGGGGAATCGCGTTCTTGGAGATGCTGAACAACTGCATGGACCAAATCCGAGCTCCGTCCCACGAGAGGAGCAGTCAGCAGCAGCAGAGGGTGTTCATGCGATGCGACGTGAACTTCGACACGACGACGTACGGTCGGAACTTGAACTCGTTCATCGGACGAGCTGCTCATATCGAGTTCTTGGAGTCCGATCTTTTCGCCCGATTCATAATGTGGTCTTTCCAAGATATTTTCCGTTGAATTTCGGGTTTTCAATTTAATTAAACCGAGATTATCAACGCCGGGAAGATCTTTCGGGATATATATAGAGGTTACGAGTTGTTGTATATTATTAGTAGCATGCAAATAAATTTTTTTTTTTGGTCAAGAACTCGTTAGGGCAAGGGCAGTTCACTTTTTTGTTTTTTTAATTATAGTTTCAGACAGCAAATATGGTAAGAGAAGTGCTAACTTGGACATTGTATTAGATTCCTTTCCTATTGTATGGTTATGGAGATGATAAATTATTTGTCCCATTTTTTATTAAAAAAATTCTAAATTATTAAATTTATTCCGAAATATCCTGCATTATAAGTATATCATAAACAAAAGTTCTATTTTAAATTTATCATTTTAAACTGATAAATTTAAATATTAACGTGTAAGCCCGAGGGCCAACCTAAAAGGCCCGTGAAATATGGATTTGATCATATGCAAGTGTATGGCCCCTTCACATTGTTTAGGAAGATAACCATACACAATTTATTTATTTTTACAAGCATTTATGTCAAATCTTTGGAAGATTAGTTCCAAGAAAATTGAAAACCCATTTTTTCTTATAATGTGAATAGAACCATTGATTTCCGAGATACTATTCTAAATTAAATCGATTGAATTAACTTTCTAATATAATATTTTTCCGCAACTCTTTTCTTTGTTTGTTTTTTTTTTAATATAAAAAAGCTAGAAATTTTAAATAGTTTAAAGCAATCACACCCTTTGATTGTTTTGATTTATGATAGTCTAAACCTTCAAGTACAATTGCGAATATGTGATCTACACATCAAGTTTCAATACATGTCTATATATATATATATATATATATATATATAGAATAGGGAATACAAGTAGGTTTGCAAATCTCCAATAATGGCAGTAAAAGCCAAACCTACAACCTCCCTCTATCCACCTTTCTCTATCAATCCCAAAAGGAATGATTTTTGCCAGCCTGTTCATGGAATTCTTCAATAACTCACACAAACACTAAGGGAAATGGGTAAATAAAACAGGGCAAACAACAATTATATGTATGTGTCCAAAACCACACATTTATTCACATTTTCATATTATATCGACATTTTCCTTTCCCTTGAACCCTCCTTTTGATTCTCTCTCTCTCTGCCGATATATATATATATATATATATATACATATACATATATATATATATATGTATATGTATATATATATATATAT